AAGAAACTGCATATGGAGTTAACTTTCATTGTGGCAAAAGTTAGCCACTGGACAAGAAAGTATCCTCGAATCAACTGCTGACAAAAAAAAAAAAAAAAAAAAAAAAAAAACTACTGATTCTTGCCAAAACAAGTGTGGTTATGGCTTTATCAAAAGGCATCTTCTGAGGCCAGGACAATATGGCACCATCCCTGAAATGGCCTTCACATTTCGGAAAAGGTACAGTGCCCTTTTCTTCGAAGGCAGCTGAATAGGCAGTGGGCCGATGGCTTCTGATGTGCAATGGAACAGCAGCTGAAACAGTTATTCTTGAAGAGTAACTAAGCTCACACCTCGCAATAGTAAACTGGCGTTTGACAGAGGGATGTGGAGAAGAACGGGATACTGAGATGAAGCCATATATACACAGCCAAGAAGAATGGACAGCTGAATTAAAAAATCAACAACAGGCCGGGCGGTGGTGGCGCACGCCTTTAATCCCAGCACTCGGGAGGCAGAGCCAGGCGGATCTCTGTGGGTTCGAGGCCAGCCTGGGCTACCAAGTGAGTTCCAGGAAAGGCGCAAAGCTACACAGAGAAACCCTGTCTCAAAAAACCAAAAAAAAAAAAAAAAAAAAAAAAAAAAATCAACAACAATTTCCAGAATTTAAAATCCTGACTCATGACATGACACTAGTGGAATTCAGGTGTTTCTGGTACATGGACTGCTCTCACCCAATGTGAGGTTGAACTGTTGACCTTGTGTACATCCTACTTCACAAATGAGTCTGTCAGATATGCTAAGCCTATAGGCTGAAGATGATGCCCCAGCATTGCGGAGAAACCTCAGGTGACTGTCCAGGCAGTCAGGTGGCTGTTTCTGTCAACTCACAAATTTTTTGGAAGTTGCTTGCATGCACTTTGTTTTTATTTTTGTTAGCTAATATTATTTCCTTCTTGGGTCTCTGAGGGAGTTGAAGATTAGGTAGTTATAGTTGAAGGTTAGTTAGTTATAGTTGAAGATTAATTAGGATAGAAAGTGAATTAGATACATTTTAGACTTAACAAAATAGGATAGATAATGAAATTATTTTCTCTGAATTTGTCAAATACAAATGGACTAGACATTGTTTAGACATTTATTACTTGTATATATTGTATATAGTCATTGTACTTTTGTATATAGTTTTTCTTTTGTTAGTTATAACCTTTTTCTTTTTTTTCCTTTTTATTAAAATAGAAAATAGGAAATGTGGTGGTATTTTACTTGTACTGAAATGTGATTTTAATTGTATGTTAATAAATAAAGTTGTCTGGGGGTCAGAGCTATTAGAGCCATAGCAAGTGTGTGGCGGCGGTGGCGCACGCCTTTAAGGACCTGGAGGGCGGTACATTCAGTCAGTGACGAGGCAGTCACATGTTTGGGTTTACAACCAATGAGAAGGCAGAACAGGAAGACTTTAAAGACAGACACACAGGAAGTAGGTCCTTTTCGGAGAGCTCTCTTGGCTGGAGAGGATCCCTGAATCAGGAAGGGTGAGGCTCTTAGCTCTGACCTCTTGGCTTTCTTCTCTGAATTGGCTCTGTGTTTCTTATTTTATAAGACCGTTGGTTACATCTACAGTAGAGTGCTTGTTACACAAGTGTGGGGATCTGAGTTCGGATCCCCAGCTCCCACATAAGAACCAGGAGAGGTGGTGTGCATCTGTAATGACAGTACTGGAGTGTGGAGGCAGAGACGGCAGATCCCAGGGGCTCACTGGCCAGCCAGGAGAGCCTGTCTTAGTGTTTTTTGTTTCCTTTTGAATAAAATACCCTGACAAAGCAACTTAAAGGGCAAACATTTATTTATGCTTACAGTTCAAGATACAGTCCACCATGGCAGAGAATCAGGGCAGCAGGAGCTTGAAGCAGCTGATCACGTTGCACCACAGTCAGGAAGCAGAGAGCAATGCATGATGGTGCTCAGCCCACTTTCTCCTTTTCATACGATCCAGGATCCCAACCCAGGGAATGGAGTCACCCACAGTGAGTAGGCCTTCCCATCTCAACTGCTCTAATCAAGATAATGCCCCACAAGCATGGCCAGAGACCCAGCTCCTACGTGATCTTAGGTCTTGCCAAATTGACCATTGAAACTAACCACCACAGATCCTGCTCAGAAAGTAAGGTGGAGAGTGACAGAAGAAGATACCCAAAGCAGAGCTCTGGATATGCGCGTGTGCAGGCAAGTGCACCCCTCTACACACTGACCTCCCTCCATCTACAACATGTTATCACCATAGCCTTGGGGATAAGGATCTCAACACGTGTGTTTGGGAGGGATCAGATGCCACCTTAGCACTTCCATTCTGTAACTCATGGTCTTCTGAAAATGGCGAAGTGACACTCTAGGTCTTCTCAGTTCTCATGGGCTGTGTGAGTCATAAGTTCCTCTCTTGGATGTAGGTTATCGGAGTCTTCTCTTCCCGTCCTGCTTCCTTTACAAACTGAGGACAACAGAGAACCAGATGGGCAATGGCCCAGCCCTTCTGACCACTGAGTTGCTGCAATTTCTGCTAAGAGAGAGAGTGTTAGGCAAAGATGGGGGTAAAGATTAGTTGCCACTTGAAAATGCAGAAAGTGGTGTGTGTGCACTCTCATACGAGAGATAGAGATAGACAGACAGACAGACAGACAGACAGATAGATAGATAGATAAGAGAGAGAGAAAGACAGAGAGAGAGAGAGACTGAGAATGCTAGTTGAGGATGGTGGCTAGACATGCCTAAACCCACATGTATTAGGGTTCTCTCAAGGAACAGGATTTATAGAATAAATATATACTATATATATGATATATACCATTATATACACATATACGATTTGCTAGAATGATCTGCAGGCTGTGGTCCAGCTGGTCCAACAATGACTGCTATCGAATGGAAGGTCCAAGAATCCAGTCGTTGTTCAGTCCATGAGGCTCAATGTCTCAGCTGGTTTTCAGTGTATGCTGGAATCCAGAAGAAGTAGGCTCCAATGCAGCAGCAGCAGGTGTGGCCCAGATTAAAGGTGGCTCTTCCTGCCTCAAAAGATCTGGATTAAAGGTGAATCTTCTCACCTAAAGAGATCCAGATTAAAAGTGGGTCTTCCCACTTGAAATGATGAAAAAAAAAAAACCCTCACAGGTGTGCCCATCACTTGGGTTTTAGTTAATTCCAGATGCAGTCAAGTTAACAACCAAGAATAGGCACCACAGGGAGCAAACGTAGAATCAGGAGAAGGGAATATGTGGACAGCCCTGGAGGGCTCACAATGAATGGTTTCTTTCAGGCACTCATCTTCTGGTATATCTCTGGGTCACTTTTCTGTATGTATCTCAGATGTTTCAAGGAAAACTGACATACGTCAAAGGAGACACAACCTCTTAGGAATATTTCCACTTCCTCCTACCTCCCACCACAAGTTAAACACAGTCTTCTTCTAGGAAATGCTGACCATCCGAGGGTAGACAACGCAAGGTCAGTGTTCCTCACATTACTTCATCTGTTCACAGGAACCCCTGGTGAGTGGGCGACCCTGAGTAAACAAGTTGTCCTCTGGAGCAAGGGGACAGTAAGAGACAACAGCAAGGGAGAAATAGGTAAGGATGGGCTGTGGCCATGACTCAGCAGTAGAGAGCCTGTCTGGAATACTCAGTGAGAGGATGGGGTGGGACTCAGGGGTAGAGCTCCTGCCTAGAATCCCCCAGTGAAGGGCAAGGGACATGGCTCAGCAGCAGAGCCCCTATACTAATATGAGGGACCCTGAATTCCAACGCCAACAAGAAATCCATCCTGGAACAAGGAAGGACATTTTACTTTTTCCTATAATCTGTGTTATTGTAGTTTTCAAGGTCAATGCTTGAGCACTAGTAGCCCCAACAGAGCAGGCTTGGCCACACTCACCCTCCATACACCAACTAAAGACATAAGAAAGAGGGAGATTTAATGTGACTTGGTTACACCGGGAAGAGAAACAAATAGAGGTTCAGTGACCCTCAAGTCCATCCTCAGGGTCCTGATGTGAAGTTTAGGTTTTATTAGAGGGCAAGAAGTGTGCATGATCAAGCAGTCCTGGTCAAGGTGTGGTAGTGCCCATCAGTGACACATCCTTGTTTGGCCCACAAGGTGTTCCAATGTGTTGTCAAAACTGTGTGGATTCTACCTGGGTGGTGAGTTCATCCTGTAGGTGTTATTTGGACTTTAGCTTTTCTGTTTCCCCAACATGGGAGCCCTGTGGAAATTTTAATTCTTTGGAGGCCCTTTGTCCCCAAAAGTCTGATAGCCCAATGGAGGTCACAAGCACCTCTCTCTAAAATATCTCCTCTCCTGCGAGATAGGTTACATCTCTAGCAAGTCCCACTGTGTAGTACCTCAGCCTCCATTTCCCCAGGACTCCTGGGAGTGAGACTCCCCTCTGTGGCCTCGGTGTATTTTTGCTTTTGTTGTGTTTGTTTTGGTTTGGTTTGAGGGTTTGGTTTGTATGTTTTGAGACAGGGTCTGCTGAAGCCAAGGCTGGGCTGAAACTCACTCTGTAGCTGAGGTTGACCTTGGAGTCCTGATCCTCTTGCCTCCTACCCCTAAGTGCTGAGATTGCAGCACATTCTACCGTACACAAATTAGGTGGTGCTGGAGATGGAGCCCAGAGCTTTGTGCATGTGAAACAAACACTCTATCAAGCTAGCTACGTCTCCAGATCCCTTGGAGGGATTTAAATGGAAGAATGTTCACATCCACCCCTTCAGAGCAGCTGTCCACCCAATCTGTGCCTCCTCCACTGAGGCTCTGGCTGTGAGACGCTCCAGGGGTCTGAGATCCATCTCCCACTGGACATGGTGCTTTGGGAACACAGCCCAGGTGTGTTCAGAGAGGGTGTGACCATGACAAACTGCGAAGGAGGGAAGAGAGCCTGGTTACCCCCAGCCTGCATCTCCCAGTCCCTCTTCTCCCCTATGCCCTACATCCGTCCCCAACTCCACCAATATCATCAGCCTCAGGGAGGCTCTGGGGGCTCTGGATGAAGCAAACCCATTTTCACTGGGCAGGACATGTCATTCAAAGGCCAAGGTCAGTGCAGAGAGGGAGAAGATGGGATCAGAACCCACACGGGTGAATTTGGGGGAGGCAGTTGCCTTCTTTGGCCTCAGGAGGAGATCTGCGTGGCTGATCTTCAAGGTCCAAGCTCCTCCTCCCAAGGCAGCCACTGTCCTGGCCTCCCCTGCTTCCGGTGGGACTTCCTCCAGGCCTTGCACCTCTTAGTTCCTCAGAGAAGAGCCCAGAGAGTCAGACTTCTGGTGGCCCTGCAGCTTCAGCTCGACATGCTGCTGTTGCTGCTGCTGCTCTGGGGAATGAAAGGGGTAGAGGGTGGGCCTGAGGCCATGGAGGGTTACACCCTGAGTGTGGAAAGGGAGGTGGTGGTACAAGAGGGCCTGTGTATCCTTGTACCTTGTAGGTTCACCTACCCCGAGGGGAAATGGACTGACTCAGACCCGATTCATGGCTACTGGTTCCGTGGTGGAGCCAAAACAGGGAGTGATTTCCCAGTGGCCACAAATAACACACAAAGGCCAGTACTGAAGGAGACCCAGGGCCGATTCTTCCTGCTGGGAGACCCACAGAAGAACGACTGCTCCCTGGACATCAGAAAGACCAGGAAGGAGGACACAGGCTCGTACTTCTTTCGCCTGGAAAGGGGAGATGCGAAGTATAATTATATTTTGAACACGATGACTCTGCATGTGACAGGTCAGACATGGCTTGCAGAGAAGCCACCAGGGAAAGCCATGGGTGCCACAGGGCAGGCCTGGGATAGGACTCCATCCTGGGAGCAGCTGGGTCTGAGCATCAGGGCTCAGGGGAGGAGCTGAATCAGAGCCAGGGCTTCCCCTGAAGCTGAACCTCACCCCTCCTGATCCTCCATTTCTCCCCTCTCCTTACCAGCCCTCACTAACACCCCCCACATCCTTATCCCGGAGACCCTGGAGGCTGGACGTCCCAGCAACCTGACCTGCTCTGCGCCTTGGGCCTGTGAGCCCCCCACCTTCTCCTGGACTGGAACCTCTGTGTCACTCTTGAGCACCAATGCCTCAGTGCTGACCATCATCCCCCAGCCCTGGGACCATGGCACCAACCTCACTTGTCAGGTGACCCTGCCTGGAACTGGTGTGACCACAAGGACGACCATCCATCTCAATGTGTCATGTGAGGCTAGGCTGAGTTGCCTGTTTTGCTAAGGCAGAGTGGTCCCCAGGGTGGTGTCAGGGTCTGGACACTGGGTTCTAAAATCCTGATAAGGGGACTTGTCAGGATGCTGGCCCCCGCCATACCCACCTAGACAGCTGCTGGGGACAGAGGGTGACTGATGAATCCACTGTGTCGTTCTCTCTTAGATGCTCCAAAGAATCTGACTGTGACCATCTATCAAGGAGCTGACCCAGGTAGGAGCTGTCCTGGGTAGGAGATCTGCACCTCTTCAGCTGGGGCGGGGCTTATTCTTCCTCACATAGGGCTCACCTGGAGACGGGGGCTGCTTGTTGGGGAGCCACTGGACCATCCCCTCTGAAGCTCCTAGGTGTTTGCACCAGTCAGTACCCACCCCTCACTCCCCCAGGTCTGCACACGCCCCTTGCCCACCACAGGCACATGGTGACATGCACACAGCAGAACCACACCGTCCAGGACCTTCTCTCCATTTATGGATCTGCCTGCATGCCCCCAATAGTTGTGCTCTGGGTTCTTGTGCAAAGAGACACAGCTGCATGGTTAGACACTTAGAACACATGGTACTGTTCTCAGAATCTCCGTCTCCAAACTGTAAGGGACCAGTGTCCTGTCCACATAGGCTGGCTGAGCCTGGCCTTGTCCCCCTGAGGTTCTGAGAGGAACAAGACGTCAGCAGCAGAGATGATCTTTGTTCTCCATGACTGCAGTACCCAGCACGGATGGATCCAATTCTGTGGGTTTCTAATACCCAGCAAAGGCAGGTCCATTCTACCACCAGCAGTGAGTGAACAGTGACTAGGTCTTGTATCTATGACCACAAGTGTGTGTTCCTGAGTAATAAACTAAATGCAGGGAATGTGGCTCAACTGATGGAATAAAAATAAAAACAAAAACAAAACCTTGCCAAGCATGCCCAAAGCCTTAGCTGGGTTCCATCCCCAGGACCCCATAAGCTGGACATAGTGGTGCAGACCTGCACTTGGGAGGTGGAGGCAGGAGGATCAGATGTTCAAGGTCATTCTTGCTACATCATGAGTTTGAGGCCAGCCTGAGCTGCTCAAGACATTGCCTTCAGTTTTCTCTCTCTCATCCCTCCACCCGTTTGTCTGACTCACTCTCATCATCAACTCCAAATATATGCCTGGATCACTTGTTCTCTCTAATTTTGAGGCTTAGAGTCAAGTAGCTCACACTGAAATACAGTAAGTTTAGATTCTTGCTGTGGTGGTAGGTGAAAGTCTGTGTCTCCCTTTTTCCTTTCTCCCCGTTGGTGTCAGTCCACCTCTCTGGATTCCAGAGTCTCTTCTCTCAATCTCGTCACAATGACTGTCGCTTTCTCTATAGAATCCATAATCCTGAAGAACGGCTCATCTCTTTCCGTCTCTGAGGGCCAGTCTCTACGCCTCTTCTGTAGCACTGACAGCTATCCCCCTGCGAACCTGAGCTGGACCTGGGGTAATCTGAGTCTGTGCCCCTCGAAGCTGTCCAAACCTGGGCTCCTGGAGCTGTTTCCAGTGCATCTTAAGCATGGAGGAGTGTACACCTGCCAAGCTCAGCATGCCCTGGGCTCCCAGCACATTTCCCTGAGCCTGCATCCACAGCGTGAGTGACCTATGGGCCAGAGGCGGGCAGCAGGAGGAGGTCAGCTCCTGTCCCATCCGTGCAGTGTTCCCAGCAGCCCCCGCAGCTTCACAGGGGAGCATAGCTCCAGCTTGTGCTGAGCTGTGAGCTCGGCCTGTAAATATCCAGAGCCTCTCTGTCTTATTCCTGCTGCAAGGAGGGTGTATGGGTCGGGGTTGGGGGCGGGAGTCACCTCAGGAAGCAGCACATCCTGAGGAGAGCGACTGGGACTTAGACGGGTGAGCTTTGCACACAAGCTCCTTGCTTCTGCAGGCCAGGAGGAAGGGGCATTTGCTAAGAACACAAAATTCAAGAGGAAACTGAACCAAAGCAAAACAGCATACAAACAAATGGACAACCCAGTAGTCAAGCCTGTGTAGTGGTCCATGCCCCAGCCCCCTCACTGGGGGATTTGAGACAGGGTGCTACCACTGAGCAGCACTGCCAGCCCCTCACTGGGGGATTTGAGACAGGGTGCTACCACTGAGCAGCACTGCCAGCCCCTCACTGGGGGATTCTAGACAGGGTGCTACCACTGAGCAGCACTGCCAGCCTCTCACTGGGGGATGGTAGGCAGGCATTCAACAGCTGACCTATATCCCCAGCCCTCTTTTTAGTTTTTATTCTGAGACAGTTTCTCCAAGTTGCCCTGGCAGTCACTGAACTCAGTCTATAGCCCAGACCCCCCTTGAACTTGAGATCCCTCCTGCCTTAGCCTCGGAGTTAGCTGGAACGACATGTATTCTTCCTTACATCTGGCTGTGATGAAACATTCCTTTGCCTGTTTGTGAATCTGGGGTTGGAACCCAGGTCCTAACATATACTGAGATACATTTAATGATCCAATTAAAAGTGCAAAATAATCCTATCCTGGACAAGATACCGAACTAAATCAAGTCAAACTGCCGCCTAGCTCTTTGATGTCCCCTCTGCCATCTCGGGTCCTTCCACTGCCCCTTCCACGTAGGTCCCTGAGCTAGGGGTGAGAAAAGCAGGAGGTCCAGCCTCCTGCAAGGCTGGGGTGGGGAGGGAAGGAGGGGAGAGGAGGGGAGTTTTCTTAGAGTTCTCTATCTGCAGGCAGTGCAGCGTTATCAGAAATGACTGTGGGGGCCTTTGTGGGTGCAGGAGCCACGGCCCTCCTCTTCCTGTTTTGCTGCATCCTTCTCCTGGTGTGAGTATCAGTGTCGGTGGGGACGGACAACCTGGGGTGATGAGGGACAAGCCTGGTGCCTGACCCTGAGCCCAGGCCTGGAAGAGCGAGCCTGAAGTCAGGGGGAGCTGTGGTTTAGGCGTATGGTTGGTGTGTGGGACTCTGGAGTGTTGCAACCCTCAGGCCCCACTGTCCCAGATGGTGGAAACCACCTTTCAACACAGGAGCCTCTGGGACAGGACTACCGGCCAACCTGACCACCCTTCAGAGGCTTAATTGCAAGTAGAGGGTGGGGGGAGAATGCCAGCTGCACCTCCACCTGCCCACACTGAGAGGCCCCTGGTGTCCTTGCATCCAGGGTAAGATCGTATAGGAGACCAGCCAGGCCAGCTTCAGCAGCTCCGGATCCAGATGCCCTCAAGGGCTCTGTTTCTCAGGTGAGTGACCCGTGTGCATGTGTTTAAACCCAGCATCCTCCTGCCTGGACACCATCCCTGAGATGGATCCCAGATTGTTCTGCTGAGTGTGGTTCAAGTTGATGTCCTGCATGCAGACCTCTCTAGTCTGTTCCCCAGTTTGATAATTGCAGACCGTGTCCTCCACACTGCTTGCTCTCTGGCTGGGCAGAGAGGAGGACTCAGCTTATCTTTCTCTTTTTCTTCTGTTCTACCTCAAGTTCATAGGTTCTCATCTGGTCTCCCTCATCAGGACACCAAGGTGCAGGACGCTCTCTGTCTTTTGGCCCCTGCCATGACTGAGACAGACAGACAGACAGACAGACAGACAGACAGACACACACACACACACACACACACACACACACACACACAGAGAGAGAGAGAGAGAGAGAGAGAGAGAGAGAGAGAGAGAGAGAGAGAGAGGGAGAGAGAACCTGTCTGTCTGTCTCTCTCTCTCTTTCTCCTCCTTTATCTCTGCCCCTCCCTTGGCTTCTTTCTCTACCCCTGTCTCTGTCTCTCTCTCATTTTCTCTCTCTTCCTCTCTTTCCTCCCTCCCCTCCCTCTATCCTTCCCTCCCCTGTCTCCCTCTGTCTCTCTGACTTTCTCTGGGTCTCTCCTCCCCCTCCCTTTCTCCTTCTTTCTGTCTCTCTCTGGGTCTCTCTTCCTCTTCTCTCTTTCTCTCCTTTCCTCCCTTTCCATGTCCTCTCTCTCCTCACTGTGTCTCTCTCCTCCTCTCCCCTCTCTCTCCTGCTGTCTTCCTCTCTCTTTCATCTTCTAACTCTTACTCTCTCTGTGTATCTCAGTGTCTCTCTCTGTCTCTCAGTCCCAGTGTGTCCCTCTTCCTCTTCCTCCTCCCTCTTCCCTGACCCTTGGCTTCCCTTACCTGCTACCAGGAGCAAGTTATCAGTTTTATCCACTTCCTCTGTATTTGGATTTCTGCTCCCTGACCCCATTTTATATAGTAACATCTCCCAAAGTTCTTATGAAGGGGGGTCTGACTCTGTAGCTCCTCAGCTTTGCTGCTGTAACAGGAAAAACACCATAGGCCATATGCAACTGATGAGCATGCCTTGTGCTAATAAAGCTTTATTTGTAAAAATAAACAATAGGCTGGATTTGACACAAGGGCTGATTTAGAACGTAAAAGTCCAAACTCTTCAGCCCTGCATGGCAAGATGGGAAGCTTGCCTCAGATGCAAATTTTAAGATGTTGCCGAAGTATCAGTCATTGAGAGTGTGTGTGTGGGGGGGGGGGGGGGTGAGGTTCAAAGGTCAACTTTAAGTGTAGCTCCTCAAGAGTCATTTTTAGGGAGGCAGGCTCTCCCATGAGGCCTGGGGCTTGCAGATTAGGCTAAACTGGCTGGCAGGGACCCCAGCGATCCTCCTGTCTCTGCCTCCGAGCTCTGGATCTTATGCCTGCAGACCATCCCTGACCTTTTATAATGGGTTTGGGGGATCGAACTCAGGTCTTCAGGCTTGTGCAGCAAGGTCTTTACTGACTGAGCCATCTCCCAGCCTTGATGCTCCTTTGAGCTTTTCCTAGATTTGGTGAATACTGCCCCCGCCCCATGCTCCATCCTTGGAATCTTCTCTGTGGTCAGCCTCCAGGAAGTTCTGAGTGCCTCTGGGAGGGCTTTAAGTAGCAGAGTTCCATGTATCCTTGTTTTGTCTTTTTCCATTTGTGTGTGTGTGTGTTTGTAGGAATGTGCATGCATGTAGGTGTACATGCAAGTGGAGGCTTGAGGCTGATGTAAAGAACCATCCTCACTGGCTCTTCCACCCTATCATTGAGTCAGTGCCACTCAGTCAAACCCAGAGGTGGCTGACATGGCTAGTCTCACTAGCCAGCTTGCTGTAGGGAGCCCCTACCTCTGCCTTCTAAAGTCAGAATTACAGGTGGGTCACCACACCCACTTGGCATTTATGTCATTCTGGGGATCCAAACTCTGGCTCTCACGTTTCTGCAGCAAGCACTTTACCACTGAGCCATTGCCCCAGGTCCATCCTTCCATCCATTTGTGAAATATGGAGTGCTTACAAGGAAGCCAGCAGACCAGGTGCCAGGGACCCATCTTTGAAGATACTTAGAGAACCGTGGGCTCAGTCGTGTTTTATTCTAGACAGGCAGTTATCAAACCACTCAAACAAACAACAAAGACCAATATATGAGCATGATGTAAAAGATAGAGACATTTATTGTAGGAAAATGAAGGTACAAAAACTAGGAAGTGCTGGGAAGATAGGCTATGTGGTTAGTTTGTTTACTATCTCTCATCTATCTATCTATCTACCTATCCATCTATTATCATCTATTTATTTATCTGTCTATCATCTATCTGCCTATTTATCTGTCCATCTATCATCTGTCTGTCTGTCTATCATCTGTGCTCTAGATTTTGATAACGCCATGTAACACAAAATTCACCGTTTTTGCCCTTTTCACATACACAGTTGTGTTGCAGATGCCTAGGACTTTTTCATCTTGAAAAACTAAAACTATATACTGAGCAACAGCTCCGACTGCCTCCCTAGGCTTTCCTCCCCAAGCCCCTGGCATCCGCCACTCTTCCCTCCTCCTCCTCCTCCTCCTCCTCCTCCTCCTCCTCCTCACCCCCGTCTCTGTGAATTTGACTTTTGCAGATACCTCCTATGTAGGACCACACCATATTTGTCATTTTGTGACTGTTTTTTTTCATTTAATACATGTACTTAGGATCCATCATGTTGTAGCATACTACAAGATTCCTTGCTGTTCTAGAAAGTTGGTAGTATTTCACTGTCTGTGTATGTACCACAGTTTCTTTAGCCAACTTCTGAGTTTCTTCTACCTGTTTGCTATTGTGATGTGAACATTCATAAATGTGAAAGATCAAGATTGTATTTTCAATTATTTTAGACATATACCTGCATTGTTGGGTCATATAGTTCTACTTTTCATTTTTTGAGAATTTGTCATACTGTTTTCCATGGTGGTTTAACCATTTTACATTTCTCCACGTGTTCATCAATACTGGCTATTTTCTGTTTTCTTTTGTATTAATTTAATAGTGCATATCCTAATGAATGTGAGGTGGTATTTCTTTGTGGTTTAAATGTGCATTTTTCTAATAATAATAGTATCTCTTTCCCGTCTTTCTGGAGAAATGTCTGTTCCAGGTCTTTGTCTATTTCTCTGGTTGGGTTGTTTGTTGTTGAGGAATTATAGGTATTCTTTATCTACTCTGGCTCTTAGTCCTCACCTGATGCATGGCTTCTAAATATTTTCTGTAGGTTGAATGTGGTTTTGGTTAGTGATGAGGGAGATTGGATTCTGCCATTTGACTATTCTAGATAGAGGGAGGAGCAGGTACCAGTTCTCAGAAACAGGAGGCAGCCAGCGAGTGGAAAAGCAACCACGAGGGCTGTGTGAAGAGACAAGAGAAGCATAGGCCACCACAGGAAGTGAGTTTGGAGAAGTTGAGTGTGTAAATCATGTCTGAGCAAACAGACCACTGAGTGCAAGAAGGAAGAGTCTAACCCCAGCCTCCGCGGAGAAGGAACAGTCATCCAACTGTAATTTCTTGGTTTTCCCAATGCAAAAGCAAAGAGTCTTTGTATTGTTACGAGTTAACTCGGGACTGTCTGTCCATCTGACGCAGCAGCAGAGCAGGAGAGACCCTGAGTAGCAATGGGGCAGGGTTTTTTTAATTAATTTATTTATTTTTCTATTATCAGCTTGATACAGTATAAATTCTTATCCTAATAGTGAAATGTTTCATTGAGGCTTGCCCAGTAATTGAGTAAAACCAAAACTTATTATCCTAGGGTCCCCCATGCTATATATATAGCCTCCCTGGTTCTGTGGGTTGCAGTCTGATTGTTCTTTGCTTTATATCTAGTATCCACTTATGAGTGAGTACATACCATGTTTGTCCTTCTGAGTCTGGGTTACCTCACTCCAACTGTAATTTCTGTGGACGCTTCTGGATGCAACAGGCAGGAAAAACTTTAGCAAGGGAAGGACAGAGGAAGATGCATTAGGAAGGAGGCTGGAGATGATGTGGAGGGATTCTGGACTGGCTGCTGGATAGCTAATGAAACCAAAATGAAGAAAGTAAGGATGGGCTGAGGGTGGGGTTTGAGTGACAGGAGATGAAGGGCAATAAGCGAAAGAGGTTGGAAGCTGAATCAGATGTTTGCCTTGAGCAGACAGGAGGAGACAGGCGCCCATCACTGAGGGTGAAGAGACCACAGGACATAGTCTGGGGCAAAAAGGAGGAATGCAAAAACAAGAACAAGACAGTCACAAAAGTTCAGATACTCCCACTTCCTTCATTTCTTTCTCCTTTGTTTCTTTCCTTCTTTCTTATTACTATTATTGCTTAATTACATGTGTGGACACACATGCTTGAGTGCAATACTCACCGAGGACAGAAAAGGGAATCAGATCTCTGGAGCTGGAGTTACAGGTACTGTGGGTGCTGGGAGCCGAACTCTGGTCCTCTGGCAGAGCAGTGTAGTCTCTTAACCTCGGAGTCACTTCTCTAACTTTGAGTGTATTGCTTTGCTGTTTGACAAGGGTTGAGGGTTCAAGCATAAATGCTCCAGGCTCACAATGTTCCCCTTATGATTTTTTAGATTTATGAGTTTTCTTTCTAATATTTTTATTACATTTGTTTGTTTGTTTAGCGTGTGTGTGTGTGTGTGTGTGTGTGTGTGTGTGTGTGTGTGTGTGTGTGCATGCCAGGGTGTGCATGTGGGGGTCAGAAGAAAACTTTCAGGAGTTGGTTCTCTCCTTCCACCATGTGGGTCCCAGGGATTGAACTCAGGTCATCAGGCTTGGCAGCAAGCTCCTTTACCCCCTTAGCCATCTTGCCAGCCCAGCTTAGAAATTTTTAGCTTGAACATCACATCAAAGCAATACCCGTTCTGTGGAAATCATACTTCAAAGTTTGAGTTTTGATTATTTACTGGTACCAGCAGCATGTGGTACAATACTCTCCTGTGATTCTGGGCAGTAGCCATGTGCCACAGCCCCCAGTCCATAGCTCCAAGGCCATGAGGTGTGTGGCCCATGGTTTTTCTTTTCTTTTCTTTTTCCTTTCTTCTTTTCAAGACAAGGTTTCTGTGTGTAACAGCCCTGGTTATCTTGTAACTCGCTCTATAGACAGGCTGGCCTCGAACTCACAGAGGTCCACCTGCCGCTGTCTCCCAAGTGCTGGAATTTAAGATGTGTGCCACCACCAGGTTCTGTCCTTGGGCTGCCATGGGGCTAGTTGGCCTTGCACGTTCACATTGACCTATGCATGCAGCTCTAAGTTGATGAGTAGTCCCAGACAGTAAACAACTGGCTGAATCTTGAGCGGTCAGAGTACGTGCAGAAAGGGAGCTACTGCAAGGACTATGTCTTTTGTTCATGGCCCTCCCAGAAACTGCTTGCTCAAGTCTCAGGAAACTGAAATTGAGGCCTGATCTCTGAGAGAAGACTGACGGCATCTGCTTGGTCCTTTCAACTTGATACAGACTTCTTGCCTCTGTATTCACACATGTACCCACACCACACACAGATGTAACACACACATGAAGAAGAAAGAGCCACGGTCCTATGTCTAGCACATCCATCCCACCTTGGACTATCCAACAACCATGTACAAATCTCACACATGTATTCCTAGTACAATACCAAGTGTTGGAGTCAGAAGAATTGGCTATGGTTTTGACAGAGATTTTGGTTTGGGTTTCTCTTTATGACCTGTTATGATTGTCCAGACTGGCCTGGAACTCACTGTGTAGTCCAGGCTGGCCTTGAACTTGTAGCAAGTCTCCTGCCTCTGCCTTGAGTCTAGGATGGCAACTGTGCACCAGCTTTGCCGGGGAGTCTGGACAAGTTGCTTGCCTGTTTCCATCTCAGCTTCAGATCTATAAAATAGAGGCAAAAATAGTATCTTGCTGGTGGAGCTAGGGAGACTGGGTGCTTGTTATTAAATGGTTGGAGAATGTAGAAATGAGGGTAAATTCAACAAAAGTGCACACGGGTGACTGGAGAGCTGGCTCAGTGGCTAAGAGAGTGTATATCTCTAGTGGAAGACCTAAGTTCAGTTCCCAGAACCCACATCCAGCACTCACAGCCTCCTTTAACTCCAGCCCTAGGGAATCATGCCCTCTTCTGGACTCTGTGGGTACTACACCATATGTGCATACACCCTTACACACATACTTGTAATTTAAAAATTAAAATGTATGTTGGTGAGTGGATGAGGGGTCCCAAGGGTCCCTGCTGTCCTACCCTGACTCTCTTTCTCCCTCTCTTTACACAGAGTCCCCTGGTTGAACCCCAGGCAGATGACAGCCTCGAACCCCTGCCTCCCACAGTTGAGGCGGCCCCCTCATCCACAGAGGAAGAGGTACATTATGCATCCCTCAACTTCCATGAGATGAAGCCCAGGAATCCACAGGGGCAGCAGGACACCACCACCGAGTACTCGGAGATAATGTCCAACAAGTGACCTGCATGGCTGTGATGTGACCACGTTTGGAGGGAGCCCAGCTGCCACAGGGTGAGAGACACCAGATGCTGGCTGGTTCTAGAGAAGGAAAGAGTCCACCAGGTCAACATGCCCTGTACATGACTTCAGAGCTGCTCCTACATCACACAGGAGTTCTGCTACTGCTCATGCCCCTGCACTCCCTGTCCACCCAATCCCCAGGCTCTGGCAACCACCATTGTGCCCAGGAAATCATAAACTTGACTTTCTTTCAATTGTATGTGTGTGGATGTTTTGCCTGTATATCTGTTTTGCTTGTATATCTGTGCGCCGCTCACATGTCTTTTGTCTACGGAGGTCACCACATCCCCTGGAATTGGATTACAGAGGGTTGTGAGTTGCTACATGGGTGCTGGGAATTGAACCCTAGTTCTCTGCAAGAATAGCCAGTGCTCTTAACCACTGAGTCATCTCTCCAGTCCCAAGACTGATGTTTTTAGATTTAATTTTTACTTAAAAATAGCATGTATTATTTACATCATGATAAGTTTTGTTGTATTTTCTTCCAAGTGTATCATGTATTTTGGCCTTGTTCATCGCTATTACCTTCTCCTGTCTGTCTTCTGTTAGTTGCTTGTCCCTTTCTCTACCCAAACAGTCTGCCTTTTAATTTCATGTTGTATGTATTAGTTTGTTTTCTTACCTTTGCTGACAAAACACTGACAGAAACATGAAGGGTGGAGAGGTTTATTCTGGCCCATGTTTTCTATCATGAGGGAGGCAGTATGGTACTCAAGACAGTGGGTACATGTTGTGGAAGCTCCACACATCTTCGTGGATCAGGAAACAGTGGGCTTAGGCCAGAGCCAGAAGTAGATATCCGTCTTCCAGGCCCAGACCCAGACACCTACTTCTACAATTTGGGACACATGTCTGAAAAGCTCTGTAGCTTTAGAAAATATTACCACCAGCTGGGTACCGAGTGTCCAGTACATAAGCCTGTGTGGACCATGTACATTCAAACCAAAACTAGGTGGGTGAATGGTAGCTAAAGAGTTAGGTAGACAGATAGAGAGACATGATAGAAAAGTAAGTGGTAGATAGATGATAGAAGATAGACAATGATAAGATAAATGGTGGTAGATATAAGATAGATACATAGATAGAGAGCGAGATAGAAAGATAAATCATAGACAGTTTGACAGAGATGCTGCTCCATTCTGCTTTGCTATTTGGAATGCACTGATGCACACAGCTCAGAGAAAGTTGCAGACAGAGCACTGTGGATGCTGAGGAGCTGTCCAAAGTGTCCTAACTTGGTTTCCTTTTCCAGATTTTTTAAAACAATGAATGTTCTTTGGGAAGGAAAAGCACTTTAGAATAAAAAGCATAAAGAAAGAAATTAACATAAGAGGAAACACTGGTAATACTTAACTTTTTTTGCAATTTTTTTCACTTTTCTGTGAACATACAACTGAACTGAACCTGTATTTGTGCTGTATATATTATACCTATCACTGCTGATTAATCTATACATTTTTTGAGTCGGTGTGATGGTTTGAATGAAAATGGCCCCTATAATTCATAGGGATTGGCATTATTGGAGGTGTGCCTTGTTGGAGGACATATGTCACAGGGGGTGGGCTTTGAGGTTTTAGAAGCTCAAGCCAGGCCCAGGGTCACTCTCTCTTCCTGCTGCCTGCCAATCTGGATGTAGAATTTCTTCTCCAACACCATGTCTGCCTATCTGCCACCATGCTTCCTGTCATGATGATAATGGACTAAACCTCTGAACTGTAAGCCAGCCCCAATTAAATGTTTTCCTTTATAAGAGTTGCCGTGGTCATAGTGTCTCTTCACAGCAGTAGAACACTGACTCACTAAGACAGACACAGAGACGGAGAGGAGAGAGAAGTGCAGTTCCTGTTGAGTTCACAAGAGGGCGACAGATTCCCCTGTAGCTGGAGTTACAGGTGACAGTGAGAAATGTTCCTGCCCAACATGGGGGCTAGGAACCCAACTCAGGTCCTCTGCAAGAGCTTATGAAGTCTTCTTCCTCCAGCCCCTGGTCTGTTCTGTCTCTGATGTCATCTCTGTGGATCTGTGGCTCTAGCAGATGTAGCTGTGCATATTCATTTATAACTTAGAAGAGAGCGGCCTTCCTCATTGGGAAGCCCCTCTGCCAGTGTGCTTCCTAAACTTGTGTGTGTGAGAACCCATTGAAGCAACTGACACCAGTTGTCTGAGCTCAAAATTGATTGATTCCTCAGTCATTGGCAACACTGATTCAAGCATCTTTGAGGCTCTTTCAAGATTCCTTGGTGTCAGGAAAAAGGCGTGAAGTTGGAAACATTGGGGGAGGGGTCTGGAATTAGAGCCTGGAGCTCTCTCATGACCTTGTCCCAGCTTGGCTGCTTCTGACTGGCAGATGGTGCTGCTAATGGTGATGTCACCCCTCATCCAGGTCCCATATAGAGTCTTCCAATTCACCTAGAAGGCTTGATTTCTTCGGTTCACTGAGACTGGCTGGTTCCCTCCCCAGGAGACACCCTGTGATGATCCAATTCAGCTGGTCCCCATGGGAATCTTGTCTCTCTCCCTCACCTCCTTGCTAGGCTGAGCTCTCCTCTAGGTCTGCCATGAACTCTTATGCCCGGTTCCTCCTATGGGAAAGAATGAGGGGAAAAGTCACATCTTGTGTTCCTAAAGTCCTGGGAAAGAAATAGAGGCCTGTGGAAGAGACAACCCCGGCTTAGTCTCCATGCCCAGAGTTCCTAACATTTCCATCAATACTTTTTGATACTAATTTATTTTAATGCCAGAAAAATAATTAGCATAACCCACTTTTCACTTCTCACTTCTGCTGCTGTGATAAAACACCCATACCAAAACAAGGTAGGGAGGAGAGGATTTGTCTCAGTTAAAAATTCCAGATCACAGTCCATCACTGAGGGGAATCAAGGCCAGGATGCAGGCAGGCCTGCTTGCTGCTCCGCACAATATGACACCCAACTGAGAAACTCACTTACAACCAAGGAAGTACGGCAGAAGGCGTGGAGGATGCTGCCTGCTGGTTTCACAGACTGGCTTAGACTCGGCCAGCTTTATAAAGTATAGCATACCCATGTCACCCTCATCACGATCATCATTTAGTGATGCCAACTTTATCACCATAATTTCTGCTGTATATTGGATACAGAAAGTTCGCTATAGAACTGTGTGTTAGAGGTTTAGTCCCCGAGGTATTGAGAGCTGTGACACCCTTAAGAGGGGCCTAGTGAAAGGAGACCACGGAGGGAGGGTTGGAAGCCTGGTTCCTTCCCCTCTCTTTGCTGTCTGCTCATCACAAAGTGAGAAGCCAGAATGTATTGCTTTGGCACTGGCCCAGTACCAATGGGAGTCAACTGACCATGAACTGAAAGTTCTGAAACTGTGATCCAAGACATATCTTCATTTTTATGTTAATTGACTCAGGTATTTTGTTACAGTAACAGAAAGCTGACAGATACCATCACCATTCCTTCACCATTACCATCACCACCATCCACTGCTACCATAACACCATCATCTCATTATGTATCTCCCAGCTATCCTAGAACCCACAGAGGCCCACCTCCCAAGTGCTGAGATAAAAGGTGTGTGCCAGCATGTCCAGGTAACCCTTATGTTTTAGGAGTCTCTCACTGACCCTAGAGCTTACCATTTCAACTAGACTGGTGGTTGACCAATAAGACCCTGGAACACAGCTGTCATCACATCTTCTGGTGCTGGGATTACAGGCACATACTGCCATGAATGGTTTTTACATGGCTGTAGGATATGAATTTAAATCTTCATTCTTCCATAGCAAGAATTTTACCATTGTGCCATCTCTCCAGCCCCATCACTATTACTACTATTGAATCTCATGCCAGGGCAGATTTGTGCTCCCAACCTGACATTTGTAGTGCCTGAGATATTTTTAGCTATCTAAACCTGAGTGGTGGTGGGTTTTACTAATGGCATCTAGCAGTCAGGTGCTGGGAGCAGGGCTCAACACCATACCATGCACAGGAGAGCCTTACTCCCCACATCTCAAGTAACTAACTCTCCCTAAGCACAGGCAGTGCTGAAGTTGAGACATGATCTACTCGGGTGAAAGATAACCTCCATCTTCCAGCACCTTTCTCTAGCTCCCACATCATGAGTCCTCTATCCCATTAGCTACGTCCTGGGAATCTATTTGTCTGCCTCATATGAACCCTGGTGTCCAGTTCCTGGCCTGTTTCTCTATCTGGCCATGTCTCCTGAGTCATAAGATCCCTGACCCCATGATGTTGAACAATGGTCACCTGATGGAGCAAAATATAATCAGGGTGTAGACCAGGATTCCACAGACGTAGGCACTGCCCAGGGATGCCAATATGATGAGAAATATTACCAAGGATCCTGAAATGGAGAACTCTCTGTGGACAGCAGGCAGTGGCCCTGAATGGAGAGGACAACATGACATAGAGTTTATTTGGCTGTGATAAAACACCATGACAAAAAGTAACTTGGAGAGGAAAGGGTTTATTTCATCTTACAGTGTGTTATGAAGGGAAGTCAGAACAGGAATTCAAGCAGAAACTTGGAAGCAGGAACTGAGGAACAGGCTGTGAGGATCACTGCTTGCTGGCTGGCTCTCCATGATTTGCTCAGCTTGCTTTCTTATACAACCCAGGACCTGTTGCCCAGGAGTGATACCACCCACAGTGGACTGGGCCCTCTCACGTCAATCATTAATCAAGAAAATGTCCCACATGTTTGTCTACCAGCCAATCTTACGGAGGCATTTTTCCCAGTTAAGATACCCTCTTCCCAGATGCATCGAGGCTTCTGTAAGTTGACAAAAACTAACCAGCACACTCAGCCATGTACGGGTTCTTCAAAGATTTATCAACACCCACTATGTGCAAAGCACTATTCAGGTATCAGTGATTCATCAATGATCAAAATCAATTCCTTGGGGCTAGTGAGACAGGTCTGTGAGCGAAGCGCTTGCCAAGCAGGCCTGATGACCTGAGCTCAACGTAAAGGTGGAAGGAGGGCTGACTCCACATAGCTGGCCTCCAACCTCTACCTGTGCACTGTAGTGAGGGTGCATCGCTCTATGTGCACACGTCATGCACACACACAATAAAAATAGAACCAAGCCCTGGCCCTTCTGGGCTGGCATGCAGGTGGCAGGACATGATGTTTGATATTGCCTACTTGACCGATGTGGAATGGCCAACGAGACACACCTCTGGACATGTCTGA